AATTTATAATTATGTCTATATCATGGAGCAATAATATAGGTGTAATAGTTCTACGAAAATATGTAACCAGTATTGGACATTATTGTAGTCGTGATGTGTGTTGCCGTAAATGAAGCAGCGTAAGTTGTTGATCTGTTTAACAACTTTCTTACATGCCTTTGTTTCTTGATATGATTGCAATTGATGACTTCTATTTGAAATAGGGTTTATCTGAAGAACAATTGTTTCATGCGGGCTAGACCGCATTTGTACAATATGCGGTCCAAAGGTGTAAAGCATCCATCTTAAATATGGATGCAAATAAATGGTCTATCTAAAAGCAATTGTAACTAACGGCCCAAATATTTAATATAATTATCATTTCTAGTTTCCAAAATATATTTATTCTTCATATTCATGATGTCCATGTTAAAGATTATATATTCTCTAAAACTTAGGATTGAATTATATTTTAAAAATATATTATTGCCAAGCCTACATTTCTAGGGGTGCGCGCTTGGCCGCGTCCTTATCTGAATTCGCTAGTAGTATTGGACCATTAGTGTTTGCTTACATTTGTTAACATTTTGCATGATTTTTTGGAAGAAAAGGGAACCGATGAATTAAATTTTAAACGGACATATCGTTGTTATCCTGCATCTTCTGTTTATAAGGTTTCTACTTTAGTGTTCATTTTCTCACTTTTGTTTTTCTTAACATGCAGTTGGTCGTATGCAAGTTTGTCTTTGACTAGATATATATGCCAATTGTATAGTTTTTTCATCCGGCCACCATGGTCTGATTCCATGTATACTTTTCATGTTTGAAATAACTATTTGCAAAAATTCCACCTTGGTTCCAGTAGCAAAAACATATGAATATGGTTTTATCTTTATAATACTTTCGTCAGCATAGCAACAAATCCCTAATTAAGAATTGTTGGAAACGAGCATCGACATCAATTCGTTGTCGACCAAGCCCTCGTTATAAGACAAATCCAATTTTTTTAGCAGTTTAAAATGCTGCCCCCAAAGAAGTTTGTAACCCCAATTCTCTCTCCAAGACATCACAGTTTACAAGCACCAAATCCTCAAGCCTAGAACTTAAGGCTGGACCAACTGTAAAGGCGAAGAATTCTCAATTCTCTGCAATTTTGTGCAATCACAGATAAGCCCGCATTATCGAGATCAAGAGGAAGCCTCAAGTCAAGAATTTGCAGAGTTTTACAATTGCCTAATGACCTGAAAAAGGCCTTGAGATCTTCCCCATCATATAAAACCAGAGAAATCAATGACCCACAATTCTCTGCAACATGATGCAGCACTCTACCTGCTATAGTTCTACAAGTTCTCAGCTCAATTTCTCGAAGACCAGGTAAACAGTTAATGAAAGAAGAGGAAGCAGTATCTCCAGTTCCTGCACAGCTACAAAGCTGTAATTTTTGCAATTTCCTGCAACTTCTCCACAACCACCCAAGACCCAAATCTGCAGGCCCGATTCCAGTCAAGCAGAGCTTCTCCAATGGCAGGTTCACCTCCGCAAATTGATCGCCATGATCGAAGCCTGACCCAATTTGAAACCCAACTCCTTTGCAATCGACATAAGTGACTGAAAGCTCCCTCAATGAACCAAACCCAAAAAGCTAACGAAAACACAGAGGCCCAAAACCCAAAATCTTGAGAGAAGCGAGAGAAACACAGCCCGTGGCAAGAACCTCGAGGCTCGAAGGAGAAACAGGGCCAGCCAAGAAGCGTAGTTCCTTAAGGTAGGCACAATTATTGACGACGCCACAATCAGAAGCAATGGAGCTACAGGTCGATAGATCTTCAGGGACAATTCTCAGAGTGGTGAGGTACGGGGAGTGAGAGAGAAGGGAAGAGAGCGAAAGTGAGGGATCAGGTAATCTTAAGCCAAGAGTGGTCTTGTTTCTTCGATGAATGCTGAGCCAGCGTTTACAAACCTGGCCGACGCTGTTGAGCTCAGAGAAGCTTTGCAAGCGAAGGATTTCTTCCAGGAGTTCGTCGCAGAGACCATTTTCAGAATCCATTGATAAAAAACTTGGTTCTGATAACGGTTGAATGGGTTGAAATGGATTGCAGAAAGGCCATAGATGAAGTGGGGAAGGAGAGAGAGAGAGAGAGAGAGAGAGAGAGAGAGAGAGAACAACTACTACCATACAAATAGAAATCTTAGACAGAGAAAGAGAGCTGCTGGGGTGGCGAATGACACCACCGACTTTCCTTTCTTTCCATTAACCGCCATTAAAAAGAAGAGAAGAGAGAGAGGAATGCCAATTGCCGGTAGGTGGCGTGAAGTCGAGTGAGACAGAGCGGCGCCACCTTCCGTTTGTCTATTGATTTTTCATTTGGGATGAGATTTCTACGAGGCCAAGGTTTATGAAAACAATATAAAGCGCCAACCAAAATCCTCGTTCAGGAAGTACTTTTGGTGACCAAAATAATTGTGATGCTCTAAAATCAATTTTTAACACTGACAATAAAATTTGAAGTTTAAAAATTGGTACAGATGATGCGGATCTATAAATATTTATTTTTAAGGCAAAAAAGATAGTCTAGATAATTTGTTATAAGATTTGTTAGGGTGTTAACATTATGAAGCAATTTAGAACGCTATAATTTTTCAAAATTTTAATTTTTTAAATTTCTAGAATAAATTTAATAAAATAGATTGTTAATAGAAAGAGAGAGATTTCAAATGGAATAAATTTCTTTTAAAAAAATTACTTTTTTAGATTTATAGAATAAATTTTGTAAAAAAGATTGTTAATAGAAAGAGAGAGATTTCAAAAAAAAAGAAATTTTAAAAAAAATTTATTTTCTGCTTATTTTAGTTGTCAATAAAAATAAAATAAAATGTGTCCAAGGCAGAATCAAACTTGAAAAGCGAAAGCTTTACCGTGGAAGTGATAACCACTCCACCACATCAACACAAGTGTAATTATTTTCTATATTAATAGTACTTATCTAAATTCCGTCATAATTTAATGTACCGTGAAAATTATTCTACATCCAACAGCGAGTTTTAGTTTTGCGTCTATAAATTGCTTTGTAAGTTTTCAAACTGTTGTATGCGTGTGCCCAAAGTTGCCATCCACACGTGGCCGATAGGAAACTGTAGTCCCAATTGTTGTTTTGGCACGTGCTAACTCGCTATTGAACATCATACACTCACTATGTGACATCATATAGGCAATGCACGGGGTAACCAATTCCTGCTGTATGACATCATACGCTTGTTATGTGACATCATACGGGCGATGCACTAGGTAATTGACTCCCGTGCCGAGTCAGACGAGTCCAATGTGATTCATCGATTTTTAAATCACTGCTTTCAGCTATAAGGAAAAACAAGTGTTCAAATATCGTAAATAAATAGGGGTTTTTTTGGGACTTTCCGGGTAATAGAAATTCAAATTTCTTGTCATAAATAATGCAAATGTCGTTATTTTTCGCCGGTACTTGTAGAAACCATCTAGTTTTTTTATAGAATCGGCCTGTTTTATCAATGTACTGCTGAAGAACTGGCTGTGTGGAGGGGTACGGGTTGGGCGGGCCGGGAGGGAGCGATCCCTGAATTTTGCTTGTGGGAACTGGCTCATCCCTGACGATTTCTTGTTCTGGATATGCATATTTTGCTCGTGGCAACTGGTTCGTCCCTGACGATTGTGGATCTGGATATGCCGTTTGTTTGCACGCGTGTGATGTGGAAGGAGAGGACAATACTAAGAACACAGTAACCACTGTACAAGTATTTATTGAGGTTGCGATCATATGTATGACTCGTGTATTTCTAAAGTTGTCTTTGGGATTCGCCCAACGAAAACAATCTATATAAGGTTGACCTTATAAATGTAGAATCAATGCGCACCTTAATAATCCATCAAAAACATCGAATTGATTGTCTCGATCAGTAGAAAAAATCGAATCAAAGCAGTTAACCAGACATAAGGTTAGAAGCAGTTAAAGATAAAAATACATTTTCGGGTCACCCAAAGAATTTTCGACACAAACATTACATCCTATGACAATTTGAAAGTGCACCTCATTTTGATTGTTTAAAGTTGCAACTTTTAATATGCTTACGTGTGTATATAGGAAAGTATAAAAAAATAAAAAAATAAAAAATAAAAAGAACAAACCTGTGAGCTAGTTTCATTATTGTTCTAATTCATTATCGTCCTAACTCCACTGGACTTGTCTCCAAGCTACTACTGACCAGGTGACCAACCATTCCTTCAATGGACCTTTCTTCTTCGCTTCTCTTCTCCTTGCAAATATTGTACAACTATCTAACCTAACCTCCCTCTTTCACCGCTTTTAGGCGGGGAAAACTTGGAATGGCTGGCTTTAGTGTCAACTAGGAATGTGCACGCCACTCCAGTGATTGAAAGATTCATACTGCCATGCATTCCATTGATAAACGAAGAACCAACCAAAGCCATATTCATTCAAAAATTTTGAATTTTTATTTATTTATTTTTTTTACAAATTAAATTCATTTGAAATTTTGAGGTTGTTACGCCTCAACAAAGTGCACCTAAAAAAATATACAACAAATAACACAAGTAACTAAAAAGGGATCCCGTTTCTATGCGGCCAAGCCCGCATATGTAGAAATGCAGGCCTATTAATAACTCTATTTTAAGATGGATTTTTTTAAGAACTGATTTTTAAGGACATGTAATCTCTTACATGGAGATCATGAATATGAAAAAATAAATCAATTTTAAAAACACAAATAAATTTTAAAAGCTAAAAATAGGCTTATTGTAGTGTCCATGAGAGTTTGGTATGTACATAAGATCTGTGATGGGGGATTCATGTAGTTGGTTTACTTCTTTTCTTTGTAGTTATGGGTACATCATAGAAAATTTTAGCGATATCTTGGCTTTAGATTTTGTAGAATTCTACAGGTATCTTGTTTTTAAATTTTCTTGTTTGTTTTATTCTCTTATCCCTCTTTTCTACAACAAGTTGTATCTGAGCCTTGAGATCCATACATGATATCAACAACATCTACTAATCTATTATGGGAGTACATGGTTAAAATATTTGAGAGTCCAAAATGCCTTGAAGAGAGCCACGGCAAATTAATATTTTTTTGGATACTATACAAAGAACCCTTGTCAACTTTCGTACAGATTGAGTTTCCAAGTATCAAGAATGTGAGGTTCTCCTTAGTCAACTTGGTACATACAGATTGAGTTTCTAAGTATCTGAGCCTTCTTTGTCCATGGGCCTTCTCATCACATTCTCCATCACGAGAGGCTTCCCTAATGCCAATGTGGAGTCATGATATTCACTACACTCCCCCTCAAGCTGAAGCATAAATATCATAGATGCCCAGCTTGCCAAATTGTCTTTTAATCGAACTCGATTAGAAGCCTTGGTAAGTATATCTACCAATTGATTATCAGAGCGCAAAGATGAAGTGCATTCTACTTTTGGAGTGACTTTTTTCTCTTACTAAGTGTCAACGACCTCAACATCTTGGTTCTTTTATGGTATACAGGGTTTAAAGCAGTATAATTACCATTTGATTATCACAATCTAAAGGAATAGGAGTTGACACATAAACACCCATCTTTTGAAGAAGAGAATGAAACCAAAATAAATTATATGTAGCACTAGCCATTGCTCAATACTCGACTTCCACTGACGATCAGACTACAAGATTTTGTTGCTTACTCTTCCATGAAACTAAATAACCACCCACTGTCATAAGGTAGCCAATGTAGATCATCAATGAAGAGAACACCAGGGCCAACATAATCTGCATCACAAAAGATATTTTATATCATGGTATAAAGTAGTCCATCTCCTAAAGCTGCTTTTAAACATCGTAAAATGTTATAAACGGCCTTCAAGTAATGGCAGTATGGTGTGTGCGTAAACTGACTTGCCAGCTTACGCACACGTTGTGTATGGTGTATGATAGTCATATAGACAAGTCTACCAACCAATCTCTGATATACACCCAAATTACATAGACACTCTAAATGGTGATCATACAATTTGTGATTAACCTCTATGGGAGATTTGCTGGTTGGCTCTGAGCATTCCTGTGTCATTGAGGAGATGACGACTATACTTCCATTGATACAAAGATTCCCTATTTAGACATTGCCACCTCTATTCCAAAGAAGTATTTCAATGGACCAAGATCCTTGATGTCAAAAACACTCCTCAACAAATATCTAACTTATAGAATTTGTGATTATTATTTCCTGTGAGCACAATATCATCCATGTACATTGTTAGTATTGTCATAGACCAAGAATTTCATTTAACAAATACCAAGTGATCAAAAATGCTTCTGGCATATTGCCATACTGAATTTTCAAACCAAGCCTGAGGTAACTATTTCAGTCCAGCAATAGTGTTTCTCAACTTGCAGACCTTCCTTTTCTCCACCCAAGTATAAACCTAGGTGGTAATACTATATACAAGTCTTGCAGATCTCCATGGAGAAAGGCATTCTTCATGCAATAGAGTGCTCATTTTTTGTTAGCTGCAATAGACAAAAGTACTCGTACTCAATGTTCAAAAAGCAAAGGCCACATTTTTTGTTAGCTGCAATAGACAAAAGTACTCGTACTCAATGTTCAAAAAGCAAATGCGGTCGCCTAGGTGGGGGCCCAAATTCTGGGGCGGCATGCATAATGTTGGGGCTCCAAACCCTTACGGACTGTTGGACCCCCTGCTTTTGTGTATAGATTATCATTTTTTTTTTGGTTTAATAAACATGATTAATTCTATAGTTTTTTTTAATATAATTTTATTGTACTAAACTACGTATCAAACTTAAGATACATGACTTTGAACTGTGAACAAAATAGCTAAAAGTAACATTAAAAGAATGAAAATCACTGACCTCTACTAGCAAATGTTAATTTTCCATTATGCTTATCCCAAAACTTGTGATATCCATTACATGTCACAACAGACAACTAACAAAAAAAAGTCACTACTCACAAAGGGCATAAACTCCAGACCATGAGATGGAAGCCCCCCGAGACAGTGATGAGGATGTTAATGTACTGACATTCGAAGGATTTGGGAGGAGTCAAAGCGATAGGGATGAATGTTTTGAATTCCGAGAAGAAATTGCGAAGAGCATGTGAGAAAAATATAGGCACCATGGTGCCTAGATTATGTACTTTTCCCTTGATTGTATGAAATGTTATGCTGAACTATGCCTGAAGGCACATACTTGGTTTGTGTATGCATCTTTATTTGTTTTATTATGTCATGGATACTGGTGAAGTGTAAGTTGAAGATTGTGTATTGAAATGGGTTTTAATATATATGGGACTGTGTATGAAGGTTGTGACTGCTCGTTTTGGTAGTATGTATATATTTTGATGCTAGCTCTTATTGTACTAGGTATGGATAATGATGTGGTGGAGACACAATCGGCATCTTCGAAGGCCAAAAGATTGATATGGTTGAAGAAAATCGAGAGAGCATTATTGGATATCCTATCCGAAAAGATTTTGGAGACCAATAAAACTAGCAAAGATTTTAAACCCGTACACTGGGCCACTGTCGAGCAGGAGTTCTTAAAGACAACTGGTATGGACATTAAAAAGGACCAATTCAATAATAAATTGAAGACCTGGAAGGCTCATTACTTGATAGTTAGGGAAATCAAAGCGGTTTTGGGTGGGACAGTATTAGGCACCATGTGCTTGTTGATGATGACGTATGGGATACCTATGTTGAGGTCAGTAATATTGTATTAACATTTTTGTTGTTTTTTATCTTGCCCAAAAAACATGTACTAATATCTCACACCTTATCAATACATAATCATCCAGACGATAAGGGGTGGATGATGAATAAACGACCACGCAATCCACTCACAGCTCAGGTCGGCAAGGCCATAGACAAGATCCGGGGGCTCACACCCACAACTAGAATGACTGCAACTAAGGAAATTGTCACAAATGTGGATGTGACGATGTTATTCTAGAATATAAGTGAAGAGGAGCATAATATGTTCTTGATGTGTATGGTGTGCATGGTTGATCACCATCTCCATAGATAGACTAATGCTCTTTAATTCCTCCATTATTGTGTCCTCAATACCTCTCTAATGATGGGTTAATAACTTCTACTTTTGGTTGAAATGCCCAATGTTGGATGGGTATAGTGTAACTATTTTTAAGTTGCATTTGGTGATGGGGAATTACATATGTTTTTGTTCATGGGTTATTAACTTGCAGTTTTGGTTGATCATTGCAGTTTTTTACGGTTAATCTTTTTTGTTCGATATCACTATGAGTGTTATTAATGAGGAATGCTCTTTTGTTTTTGATTGGATATAACCATGATGGCTTTTCTTGGACAGTTTGATGGTATAGAACTAAGTGGTTTACTATTGAAAAGTGCATTATGTATGGGTATGAAACTTTATTACAATAATGATCCTACAATTAGTTTTGGGAACTAATTAGTTTACTTATGGAGTGATCATCAGTGTATATATGTTTTTGATGGCTTTAATGTTCCCCATGTGTATACATTGCTCAATATTGCAGAAAATGCCAAGAGTATATGTTGTGTATGTTGGCCACAACCTTGGGGTGTATGTGATATGTGCATAATGCTCCAGGCAAGTGCTAGGCTACCCAAAAGTTGTGCATTGCTCCTACCCCACTATAGAGGAGCGGGGTGGCACGATTTTGAGATTATCAAAGTCGCCAAGGGCATGTAAGTTTTTTTTTTTAATAACTATTAACTTTTTTATTGATCGAAAAGATAGATACAAAATGGTAAAAGTAAATCCAAGAGTACCTTAACTACACGGGACTCCTGGGAAAAAAAAATAGGTCAACTGACCCTATACAAAATGGGGTTATAAGATTATCCCCTTACACAGTATTCAGGAAATGTACAAAGAAAGTAAAGAGAGTAGATCACAAAAAAATCCCAGACCAAGAGAGAGGTTCTTGTAGTGTGCGTGCTCTGTAACCGACCCAAACCCAACTGTGGTAGAGCCTATTCTTCAACATGGACCTTAGCTCCATCCTTGGCGAGCAAGTCCGCGAGCCCGTTTGACGTCCGCGAGATATGCTTCCATAAGACGGGTGTATCCTTGCAAAGATGCTGAATCTCATCATAAATAGACACAAGATACCAGGGGGGAGTAGCTGTCCAGGAAGCCTAAGAAATAATGTTTCTAGAGTCGCCCTCCACTAATAGAAACTGCCCCCAAGAGCAATCATAATTCTGTATGCCTCTGAGTAGGGCCATTGATTCAGTGAACTGTGAATCTTGGAAGCCGAGATATTCAAAGTATGTAAAAAGTATGTTCTGATGGTGATCTCTGAAAACCCCTCCCGCACTTGCATGGCCTGGGTTTCCCAAAGAGCAACCATCAGAGTTTAATTTGATTGCTCCTTGGGGGGGAGGTTCCCAGGCCCTTATGACTTTCTTTTCCTTCGGTTTGTGGAGGAGAATATGCTCCCACTGCGGTCAGGAGTCTGTTGGGATACTGTTGAAAAATGATGGTTTGACGCCCAAAAGGTTACTAAGAATGTAACCTTATGGACGAGAAAAGGGGCTAGACCGGCCTGCCCCCGAAAGATTCTGCCATTTCTTTCTTTGCCAAATGGTCCAAATTGTTGCTGCCACTATGGCTTTCCATAGGATTCTGGCCGCCTTCGGCCAGTGCGAGGCTAAGTTCAAAACGAAAAGGTCTTTGACCGTTGGAGGTATTACCTAGAGAACCCCAAACAATTGCCACAGTAGGCTCCATAGTTCTTGGGCCACGTTACAATGGAGAAAGAGGTGGTTATTGGATTCCTCTTGACTCAAGCACATGATGCACCTATTGGGAATTGGAATTCCTTTCTTTTGTAGGTAATCCATAGTGAGGGCCTAGTTAGAACCTGCAATCTAGTTGAAGGTTTGCACCTTTGGAGGTGCAATAGTGTGTCATACCTGTGATAGAATCAAGGTTGGGTTGAGGGGGAAAGTAGGAGGTTGGATGAGCATTTTGTAGAAAGAAGCCACTGTAAAAAACCCTGAGGGAGCAAGGGGCCATACCAACTTATCTCTACCTTGGATATGGATAAAGGTATTGTGGAGCAGTGAGGAGAGTAAGAGGAATTGATTAGATTCCCCCTCTGAAAGGTTCCTTCTGAAAGATGGATGCCATCCTCTTCTTCCTCCTTCCAGTCTAAACTCCTCCTCTACGGTAGCCTCTCTATTAACCGTGATAGAGAACAGGAAGGGATAGTAGTTCCTCAAAGGGGCATGACCTATCCATAGGTTAGTCCAAAACCGCACCCTACTGCCTTCTCTTGGGTAGAATCTGATGAGCTGCCTGAATAAATCAAGGGTGGCAGTAAAGGACCTCCATACACTTGAAGCATTAGACCAAGGTTTTGTCTCTAGGATCCAGGTATGTTCTAGAATATTATACTTATTCCATAATACCTGGGCCCAAAGTGGTTCTGTTTGGGTGGCCATGCGCCACCACCATTTCCCTAAGAGGGCAAGGTTTTGTTTTCTTAAGTTTCTAATTCCTAGCCCACCCTGGTCTTTAGGTAGACGTACCTTGTCCCAGGAAATGAGATGGAACTTAGTTCTTTCAGCCTGCCCTGATCAGAGAAAGTTCCTCATGAGCTGGTCAAGGCAATTTACCATTGAGACCGGTATTTGAAAGAGAGACATCATGTACACAGGTGCATTGGCTAGAGTAGCTTTGATAAGGGTGATTCTTCCTGCTAGTGACAAGTATCTCCCTTCCCATCCAGCCAACCTTCTATCAACCTTATCTATATGGGACCAGTGTCTCATTTTGGGTTTACCAAGGCCTAGGGGAAGACCCAAGTAAGAAGTAGGGAGGTCTTCCACTTTACATGAGGTCTTCCACTTTACATGCCCAGTCTAGTATCAGCTCCCTGATTTGGCTGGTAGTGATAGCTATACCCGTCATTTTTCATTTCTTCATATTTACCTCGAACCCAGTGGCCATTTAGAAACATTTGAGCTAGATTCTGAGGTTTTCCACTTCAAGAGAGGAGGCATTAAGGAAGACCAAAGTGTCGTCTGCGTATTGCAGATGCGACACAGTAGGCCCTCGACGTGAGGACCTAAAGCCTGAAAGAAGGCCAGCTTGGTAAAGGTGACCCAGAGAGTGGCTAAAGACCTCAGCCGAAATAGTAAAGAGGAAGGGGGACAGAAGGTCCCCTTGACGAAGGCCTCTTGAGCAAGGAAAGTAGCCTTTGGGAGTTCTGTTGATGAGGATCGAAAAACTTGAGTGGGAATAGCACCCTCTCATCCATTTCTGCCACCTATCTCGGAAACCCATCCAAGTCATAGTCTCATCCAGGACCGACCAGTTAACATGGTTGTAAGCTTTTTCCCAATCAATTTTAAAAATCAGACCAGGTTTTTGGCTCGGTGCCTAGAATGGAGGCATTCGTTGGCTATCAACGCTCCCATCAAGAATTTGTCTATTTTTAATAAAGGCCGACTGCCAGGGAGAAATGACCGAAGGAAGGACCTCCTGAAGTCTAGAGGCCAGTAACTTAGATAAAATTTTGTAAGAGGAGTTGAGCAAACTTATAAGACGGAAGTCCTTAAGTTCCTAAGCCCTTTCAACCTTAGGAACCAGAGTGATGAAAGTGGCATTGATGGATTTATTGAGAATTCCCAGAAGATCTTAAAAGGGGCCACGGGAAACCCATCAGGCCTAGGGGCTTTGTCTTTAGCTAGGTCGCCCAAAGCTTTTAGAATTTCATCTTCAAGGAATGGACGTTCTAACCGTGTTGCATGTTCTTCCGAGAGGGTCAAGAAGTCTAGGTCAGCCATAGCTGGTCTAGGACCAAAAGGAGCTAAGTATAGATTCTGGAAATAGTTTAAGATTGTTGATTCAATCTCTTCCAGCTGGTCTAAATAACAGTTGTTAACCTGGATGGTCGAGATTGAATTGTCCCTCCTGCAACAATTAGCAATCTTGTGGAAGAAACGGGTATTGTCGTCCCCTATTTTGAGCCAGTTCACTCTTGATCTTTGGTACTAGTACATCTCTTCTTTTTTCAAGGTGGATAAGTAATCAAATTTTGTTTGGGTTCGGCAGTCAACTTCAGCAGAGAACAGGGGACGTGATTCTTCAATGTTATCCAGGTCTTGCAGGGTCTTAAGGAGATCAGACTTTATTTGAGAATAGTTCCCCAAAACAAACGAACTCTAGGACTTAAGGGAGGCTTTGAGAAGTTCAATTTTTTATCGTAGTCTGAACCCTGCTCTACCATTGACCTGGGCAGAGAAGGAGGTCCACCAAGTGGGGATCAGAGTTGAGAAAGACCTTTCCTCAAGCCAGGCTAACTCGAATCTGAAGGGTTTGGGGCCCCTATTTACAGCTAAAGCAAACAGGAGCAAGGGGTAATGGTCAGAGACAGGCTTATGCAAAGCCATCACAAGAGAACCTGGGAACTTTTCCTCCCAATCTAGGGTAAATAGAAACCTATCCAATTTGGAAAGAGAAGGTTGGGATGAGTGACTGGACCAGGTGAATCTGTTGCCTTGGAGAGGAATGTCAAGAAGGTCATTCCTAGATATGAAATCAGAGAAGTCCAACATGCCCTGAGAGATCAGGGAGCTAGAGTTCTGTTCATGTGACCACCGTGTTATGTTAAAGTCCCCACCCAAGCCCCGGATAGGGTGAGGGAGGGATGCAACATAGTCCAATTCGGACCAAAACCGTGGTCTACAGGCTGAAGAGCAGGGGCCATAAATGCCCGAAAACTTCCATTCAAGGCCGTCAGAAACTCTGGACAGCAGAATGGTGACTGAGAAATCCCCTATATGCAAAGATTTTAAAAGATAGTCAGTGGGTTCCCAAATAACCCAGATTCCCCCTGAGGCACCTTCCGCAGGTAAAGCTACCCACTGGCAGGGCCTCCTACCTCAAACCTGACGAACTTGGAGTAGGGAGGGCTCAGGGCTCTTAGTTTCAGTAATAGAAAGAATAGAGGGACAGTGTTTGGAAGTGAGGTCCTTCATAGCCTTCTTTTTCGAAGGATGACCCAAACCTCTGATATTCCAGCTGACTATCTTCATGATCAAGATGAAGAGAAGGGAACGGAGGCTATTCTAGGTGAACGCCTCAAAGAACCACCTTGGGGGGAGGGATAGAATCCTTTTGGAGTGGAGGGGCCCTGAACAAATAAAGAAGAAAAGAGGTTTAGAAGCTCCCTCTTTCCTTTGAATCCCACCTTCATGTGGCTCTGGGGATCAGCGAGCATGACGCGATGACCCGGTCCTTCAAGGCCATCATACTGGAACCCCATTAATCGGTACATGTCCTTCATCCTTTCCAAGTCACGGTCAGGCCCTTCCCCATCGACCCCCTTGTCGCCAAAGTCAACCGAGGGGGGAGAGAAGGGCGGTGAGGGATCCACTGTTGGTAGGTTATGCCCATCCCCATCGAGCCCCCTGTCTAACTCTAATGACGAGGAGGGAGGGATGAGCTCCACTGGAGCATCGAACTGGTCAGTCCCTTGCTGCTGAGTAGATGGAGGAGAGGTAGAGATCAGATGGAAGAGAGGGAGACGAGAGGGAAAGAGACGGCGGAGATGGGAGAGGAGAGTCGGAAGGCAGGGGAGGGGAGACCGAGCCCCCAACAGGTGGCAGAAGAGGAGCAGGAGGGGGGGGAGGGAGGGAGGATGGGGGGAGCAGAAGGGGAAAGGATGGAAGAGTGGAAAGGTGAGAGGAATGCAGGGCAGGAGAGATAAGCACGGTAGTGAGACACCTCAACAGACAGATGGGAAAGACAATAGGCCCCAAAACAGTGATGGGAAGTGTGAACCCTGTGAAGCCTTACTACATGGGGGGTAAATCCTAGGGAAAGTTCCAAGGAGGGGTAAGCTGGATGGGGCAGCTCTTGGTCCTAAAGAGAAGAGGAAGAGCCCATAAGAGAAGAGGAGAGAGAAGGCCGGACAGAGGAAGCAAGAGATGGAAGAACAAACAGGGGGGAGAGCCCCAGGGGAACGCAGAAGGCACCGAGGAGGGGAAGGGATGCTAAGCAGGGGCAATGGAGAGAAGGAAGCGAGAGAGAAAGGGGGAGGAAAGAGAAGGCGAGAAGTAGAGGCAACGGAAGGGAAAGAGGAGAGAGAAGGAGCCGGCTGCGAGCTGCCATCATGCCACACGGCATCCCAGGGGAGGAGGCGAGGGGATGGGGGAAGGCTCGAGGCCAAGGATGGCGGGATACAAGAACAGGGAGGGTGAGGGGTCCAAGGCAAACAGAGAAGAGGAAGGGACATGAGAAATGAATGCAAAGTGGCCAGGGAGGGGCGGTGTGGCAATCAATAAAGGAAAGAGGACACCGGTTGAGAGCGAGGCAGGCTGAAGAGGGACAGGTGGCAAGGGGCCAGTCAACGGGGTAGATGGAGCGACGGCTGGCGGTACCACAGGCCAGAGGGTGACCGATGGCTGCGAGGTAGGCGCCACAGGGAACGTGGTAGAAGTGACCAACAGCAGAAAGGCAAGAGCCACAAGCAACATGGCAGAAGGTGGCACGGTTATGGTGAGGCACATATCACCAAATGCAAAAGAGGCAGAGGAAGGGGGACATGTGTGAACAGTAAGGAATGCCACAAGGACGGAGGGCCCAAGATCGCAAGACGGGCCAGTATCACAGGACGAACCCGAAGAGGGATCATCGACAAGAGTAGAGATAATGGGTTCTTTTCCGAGTCAACGAGGAGCCAAAGGCGACGTGGAAGGAGGCACTTGAGAAGCAACTGGGGAACCCGAAAGGGCGAAGGCGGTGTTCGGACCCAGTTCTAGGGAAGGGCCCTGAGAAGGGTCCTGAACTGAGGCAGAGACTATAGGCTCAAAGGTCAGGTCAGTACTCGTCCGCTTGTCTTTAGCCCGGCTGAAACCAGAAGGCCAAGGATGTCGGACTAGCTCCCGAGAGATGGAGCCAGAAGGAGAGGTAACCGGGCAAGGAGGAGGAGGGGCTGCAGCCCGATGGATGCGCCTCCTGAGCCAACGATTCTTGTGGAGAACAAGAGTCCATGCAAGAGGTTCCAAAGGCTGAGTTTGGGGGGGGCGGGCGGGGAGAATTGAAGGAGGAAGGGGGTGAGGCTTCTGTCCAAGATAAAGAGACACGAAAAAAAAGAGACTGAACTTCAAGCCAGACACTTGAGGGAATCAAACTAGAATCCAAACCTTCAATAAGCACCCGGATGGACCCAAGGGGAAGTGTCTCAATGGATTTCTAATGGATAGCTATTAAATCTCCACAAGCTTCAGCTATCTTAGAGAAAGTCACTGGAGACCACGCATGGAGGGGGATGTTGTCGAGAGTAAGCCAAACTCTTTGTTTCCTGTAGGCTCCAGAAGAGACAGACCAAGCCATAAGTGAGCAGGAGGCCCCATGAAAGGTGGAATTAGCCGGGGTCTTAAGAGCGCATTGCGCCAACTCAAGAGAGCAAATAGGAGCCCCCATTCAAGCGACGGCAGGTGAGAGATGGTTCGTTGCAGATTTTCTTAGCCCAACGTTCTATTCCTCTCACGTCGTCCTGTTGAGGGCGAAAAGAAGCCACTAAACAAGACTGGAGCTTGCATTGCAGTTGGGATGAAATCTCAATAGGAGGCGAAATGAGGCAGGGAAGAAAGGGGGAACAAACAAGGGGAGGGGAACACTTAGCAAGAGGAGGAGGGGGGTGACCAGAAGAAGGTCAGGGATAGTAAAGGGAGTAGCCTGAGGCGAGCACTTGAGAGAAAATGACCTTGTGAGTGTCCCCTGACAGCAATCAGCAGAGGGAGAAGGAGGAGCAGGACGAGAAGGGTGGGTTTTGGGGTAAGACTGTAAATCAGATCCCAGTAGGTAGGGAGAGGAGAAGGGCGACGACGACGACACCAAGCCCCCATGGTCTTTTTCTTCACTGCCATGGACGTGTAGTTGTTCCTACAAATGGGGGACCTGTAGTTGTTCCCACAAATGGGGGACTTGTAGTTGTTCCTACCAGTGGGAGTGCATTAAAGACAATTACATTCGTAGCCGTGCTTATATGCATATGCGTGTTATCATATTGCATTTTTCTAAGCTAAACTCGATCTTGGGGCAAACTAACTCTCCTTATCTCGATATGGACTTTCGGAGTGTATTGTATGAAAGAGGTGTGAATGGAATAGTACTTTGTTTCATTGATTGTTACAAGTTTTGAAATTTTATTGCATGTACTATAATTATTGTTATATGCTATTCATCAATGGGGCTGGATGAATTGATAAACATAAGCATACATTCGATATGTTTCTTGGGAATTTGGTTTTGTAAATGTCATTCATTAAGGCATACATATATTTGACATGAAATACTATTAAAAATCCAGGATGTCTATTCCAATTACTCTACCAAGTGGCGATGTTTACAGGCGTATCAATTGGGCGAACATGACAAAATCATATTCAAAACTATGGTTGAAGTGGGTGCTACGAACCTTAAAAAGGACTGGATATAAATAGTTTATGTTATGCGTGAAGCATACAGGCCTATGTTCACCATAGACAGACTCAATATAGGGTTAAATCGTTGAAGTTTTTGTATATAAACGTTAAACAGCTCCTTGATCGACCTGGTTTCCAATTCGATGAAGGTAAAAGGAAGATATATGTACTCGGTTGGGAGGAGTACATTCAGGGTAATGAGGTAATTGCAAGGAAGTTCGACAAGGTCCTACCACTTATGCACCTTATTGACCTATTTTTGCAAATGTC